TTAGATTTTAAAATTAATTTGTGCAAATATTGCAATTGTCATTTGTAGTATGAGTATTGTAAGCACACAAAAGCATATCAACAATTGTATATCTTTTGCTTTTTAAATCAAATTACAATCCAAACAATTTCTCTTCCACTGTCAACGACATACACTTAAATCATTTGTGGCCAATGCGACATGAAAAAGCGCAGCCACTTTCTAATAAAGGAGCTGAGTTTGCCGTTGTGTCCAAGGATATCGTGAAATTCATTGACCTACATAGAGTAAGAAGCGTACATACATATTTCGAGTGAAATCAGTGACATTAGCAAAAGTACATATAGTAAATATATGGCAAGAAACACAGAAAGGAATTACAAATCTGCACTTGCATAAAGAAAACGTATAATAAATAAATAAAAGCATATTGCATTATAAACATGTGAATTTAAATAAGCACATATGTCTTAATAAAAGCAGAAAAAAGTTACTAAAACCAATATATATAATTTTAAAGAGGTGTTAAAGTCTTAGCTAAACTATTAAAGTTTAAATACTTCACAACTCACAGTAGAGAGTCTAGACCACACCTGCTGTTGTAATAGACAGTTTGACATTTCAAAATTTGGGACTTTCCTCTTTTCTACTTTATTTTCTTTTGGGACAGTGGTGACTTATATATCTACAAATGAATATCACCATAAGTTATATCATAAATTTAAGGTCACAACAAGCAGGAACATTATGTCTTTTAAATTTGATGTGGCTATACTTCCTCGCAAATGATTTATTTTCTTTCAATACTTTCAATATGAATTCAGCAAAAAAAAAATGCAAGGGAAAAAAGGTTGACGAGAAAGGAATAATGAAGAATGGACAGAAAAACGGAGTGAAATTGAAGTTAATTGATGACATATATATATATATATACTACGGAAATTGCTGTTAGCAATGTGCAACAAGTGCATTCATTATCAAAGATTTGTCAGGAAGAATTTTTTTAGAAGCACTAGCAAGACTAATAAGTTCCAAGCCACAAAAGACAAAGTACTTGACATATCAATGCCAGCAGATTAAATTTCAGATACTTGGTAGTAATATACGAGTAGTACTAGTCAAAACACTTCAGTAAATACAGTATCAAACGTATCATTACGTATAAAATATAATTAATAATTAAATATAACTAATCTGAAAAGTATAGTAATATCTGAAAGTAAAAAGTCAACGCAACAGAAGAAGTAAAATTCTTAATAAAAACTTAGATATCCAGCTCCATAAAAGGGATATATGGAGTATAACGACAGAGTATACCTTAGCGAAATATAGCAAAGATGTATATTTTTGTATATTGGAATATTGTATATTGTATATTAACAACTTATTTAAACTGTGAATTTCGAATAAAGAAATTATGAGAGTAGAAACCCAAGAGCAAGTTTAGAAAAGGGTTCTTATTAGTTCTTACGAGGGCTGCCTTTTAAGTCATATGCTTAACAATGAAAACACAGTAGTTATTCAGTGAAAATGGTTTTATTTTTTTATTTGATTGAACGAATTTTCGAAATTGTTTTGCCATTTTAAAGTTGGTATCTCTGAAACCAGGGTTCTGAATGTCTCAACGGCTAGTTCGGGCATAGGAAAACCCGTTATCCATTTTTTTGTGAATGCTTAGGAGCATGTAGAAGACATTGGTTGCCAAGTCGGTACTGTAAACCGAACGACCCATTAATTAAATGTTTTGAGGGCTCAAAAACTCTGGTGGAGGCAGTTCTTTATTCGACGTTCGGTGTTTCTCAATTCTCTGAAGACTTCCGGCAAACAAATGGTTATGTACCAATCAGTGTCTACCGTTCTATGTTGTTCAAGTAGTACAGTTACATCATGAACGGTTTTTCTGAAAAACAATACGACTGTTTGCTTAGTTTTGTTTCGTTCACGCATCGTTTTTGGTCGGTTTTCAAATTATTGGAAATTCAATTGGAAAAAATCTTTCTGGTAGATTTAAAATTAAATGTATGCTAGTTCCACTAATGCCCAACTATCTACCGGTATGTAACATGTCGATCCATCTCAATTATTTTTCGCACTGCTTCAATGTTTTTTGGTACAACAGCCGTTCTTGGACGAACTTAAAGAAATACGTCATGGAATAAATGACGACTCGAACTCATTGAATCTAAATTTGATTATAACTCATTCAGAATTTTGCGAATAACTTCATTGAAATTAAAAGTTAAAATTGAAGATGTAAATTAATTTTGATAATTTTTTTAATTGTCATTAATTTTGAATTGAGTTTAAAACCTTAACTCTCATTTATGCATAATCACTAAGGATTAAATAATTTTAGCGTGCCTCAATTATCTGAAAATCAACATTTTTAATAATTTTATTTACTTTAATATCTAATTATTTTTCTTTTTCTATTATAATTTATATTATTATTTTCCAAATAATAATTAAAATTAATTTTATTTACACATTTTAATATGGTACTTATCAGCTGCATTAGTAAACCCACAAAGTACTTCACCCACGCAATTTTGAATTCGTTGCAAATTATTTTGCTAATCCATTTTTCAGTTACAAACAAATTTAATTACCTTTATTTGAGTTTTGGCCACTTTGAGATTCTTTCTAATTTAGCATTTTTAATTAAGCTTGTCAAATTATAATCATTAAAACCGCATTATGCAAAACAGACAGCGCCACGAAATATATTTGTCAACAAATTTTTGATATTTGCATGCAATAAATTTTGGCAATCAACTATTTTGTAAAACATTGATGTACATTGTATTTACTACATATATATTACATATTAATTTTTATAATAATTAAACCATATTTATTAAATTTTCAAATTACACTAAACGATTTAAAGTTTTAAATTCAAAATTTTGCCATAGATCATAGGTGAGAATAAGGTAGGGCATCGCATCAATAGTAGGCAAAAAGTAATGAAATACCTTTCTTAAGATAAAGATATAGAATAAATCATATATATATAAATATATATAAATATATAAATATATATATAAATCAGAAGGCAGTTTTGAATACAAGTACGTTTAATATTTGTGAGCATTTATTTCGAATCCTTCTTTATTCAAATAGTTGAAGTTTGGCAATGGCCGATATATTAACACTTAACAATTTATACAGAAACAAACACCCACCGATCCTAGTGTATATATCGTCTTCTTTTTTGCTTGATCAAAAGCGACTTAGTGTCTAAAGTACTTTTACTTTTATTTCTGGTCTGTTACCCTTTAGATCTACTTTAATAAGAGCTCCGTTGAATTCTGATAATAAATTATTCAGTTGTTTTTATAGAAGTATACTTTAAGACCCAGTATATCTTCCTGACGGAATATATGTTATATTTGATTTAAGAGATTGCACTTCTGAATTGGTGTGGGCATCCACGGAATCGAACAGTTTTAGCGTTCTATCTTTGATATGCTTTTGTACATTCTCGGCTCTTAAGTTTTTGAGTATGTTTTCTTTTTTGATGTACCATGCAGCTTTAAGCATACGTGTCAGTACAATATTCTGAAGAGTTTTCTAATGGTGAGTGGAGTTGCATTGCCATAAGTAACACAGCCATAAAGTAGTTAAGGTCTAATTAATAAGGTCAAGTTTTCTTGAGTTAATGGTTTCAGAGCATTCAGACTTATGTTACAAGCCATCTTCTTGACCCTTATTTTCTTGAAACAAGTGTATGCTAACTTTCAAAAGTTAGATTTAAGTATTTTACATTGTCCTTCCATTCTATTTCCAAGTTGATTCTCCACCTTCTGAAGAAACTCCTTATACTTTCGATACTTTCACAACGAAATAGGCAATTCTCAACAAGGAACATACTAAACCTCATTTGAAGAAGTAATTGTCTGCTATATGCTTGGGGTCAGTTTCTAACTCCAAATATCAGCTATAGTTAATTTATTTCAAATCCAGATTACTGTTTAATATTTACTCCTATTTTCTACTGTTTCCAAATAAACTTCAGAGTCGAAGTATGTAATTTTTATTTTTATAATAATATTCCATAAGAATTTACTATAAACTTACAGTTCAAACACATATTTTATTCAGAAAATTTTTTAAATGTAAATATGTATACATAAAAATATATATATATATTAATATATGGTTGGTTGCAGTGGCAGGCCATTAGATAACTTCAAATGTACCTCAATTAGCGATTTTACGCCGTTTTGCTACCACATTCCTCGCAAGAACTCTAGTATAGAAGAGTAGAGACTAAATCCATCCCGCCGAACTTTTATAATTTAATAGGTCTTTCATCTTCATCATTGAGTAGTCTGATAAACTATCACAGAAGTATTTTCCTTAGAACCTATATCTTCTGGACGCTAGAGCCGGGCTTTTACAGAGAAAATATATTATTGTTTCTTTCTCCTGTGGGTTTCCACAACTTCTGCAGTGAGGGTTATGAGGAATACGTAGTTTCTCTGCGTTAGTTCCTACACACTAATGACTAGTAAGAACTGCAGTAAGCTTTGCAGTGTTCTCAAGATCTCTTTTGATGAGTTCCGAAGATTAATTTTTATTATAGGTAGGCCATGTTAACCTGGAAGTTGCACAAGACCTAAGAGCTTTCCATCTGTTATTGGCAAGTTGTAGAAAGTATATATATAATATATAAAAATTAAATCTATAATTCTTAACAATGGAAATATATCACTACTGAAGCAATCATTAAACTTCGTTGAACTCACGAACCTAAATACTATTTTTTTTTTGGACTGCAAAGAGATCCAACTTATCGCTTGGATATAAGTGATACAAATATTTCAGTGAATATATGTAAAAAATAATAAATAAATAATAAAAAAATAATGATTATTAATACGAAGTTAAATTTTAATTTGGTTTTTAGGTTTTGATTCAATTAGGTCACCAGTTTTGCTCTTTATCCTTAATTACTCAATATTTTATAATTAAATTTTTACTGCTAAATTACATTGTATTTTAATATCTTATTACAGGCATTTTTTGTAATTGGACTTGGGATCAGTTTCTTTGCTGGCCACCGACACCGGCGGGTGTGCTGGCGCGCATGCATTGTCCTTCAGGTTGGCATGGAATTGACACAAAAAGTAAGTACTTAATAAGTAAGATGAAAAAGCAAAGACTTGATTACTTAAATACCAAAGGAAGATCTTAAGAATTGTAACAATTAATTGCCGTGGGTATTGATTTGTTAGGCGGTCCATTTGTTATCCTTGACAAATTTTCCAATCGAATATTTTTCTATTATATTATAAAGATATTCTTATATAAATACAAAATTTCTTTTTTGCAAAATATATTTCATTTTATCTCATGAAGTGGTTGGTTTGCACAAAGCGAAACTACTACTATTGATTTTGTGCAACACTCAACCCAATTGATTTATTATCTTATCTCGCTAGAAATGATTCATGCAATGGCCAGAATAAATTCAGTTAGAATTGGTCCAATTGATGCCGAAAGCATTTGATATTTGCTGAGCAAAGAAGCGTTTAAAAACTAACAAAAAAGATATTTTATTGAATAAATGCTTTTATATAAAATAATAAAATATTTTCTAGTTTACTTTTCTCGCGAAACCTTACTAAATCGCCTCCACGGATATTCAGTTTGGTTTATTTTCAATAAAAATATTTATTTCTTTATTGTCGTGTTTACAAAGTTTATTTTAGAAATAAATTTAAGAATTTTGTTTATAAATTTAAAATTCTTTTAAATTAAAGAAAAATCAATGTTTAAAAATTACTGTTTACATTTAAAGAGGAATTTCGTTAAATTAAGTTATTAGCATCTTCTAGCATCTTCCAAGCGGAAATTTACGCAATTTTAAAGTGCGTATTCATCAATATTGAACGGAATTACCAGGGTAAAAATGTCGCAATACTGACAGACAGACAAGCGGCGAACAAAGCACTAAACTCGCATCAGATGACCTCAATACTGGTTGCTAGACTGCGTTGATAAGTTAAATCTGCTTTCCGAATCAAATCAGGTGTCGATTCTTTGGGTACTGGGACATACTTGCGTATGCAGAAACAAATACGTGAACAAACTAGTCAGGAAAGAAACAGCTACACCGATAATGGGGCCGGAACCTTTATGTGGATTAAGACATAGTTCCCTACTTTCTCTTATAAAGATAAAGAAGAACTAGAACAAAAAAGATTACTGTGACAATATATCAGGATTAACCCAATCTAAATTATTTATTTGTACCTATAACAATAAAAGATTCCAGAAATGTATAAAAAAAAACTTAGAATCATCACAGAAGTCCTATTAGGACACTGTAAATTAAAACACCACGTTACGAAATTGGGTATATATACTGCAGATTTCGCGAAGAGAATGCGGAGTCAGCCACACATATGCTGTTAGAATGCCCTGCACTAACGCATTAGACGAATTAGACTCTTGGGAATGTACACCCTTGCGGAAGAGGCAATAAGAGTCTATAAAGTAAGTTCTATACTACTTTTCATTAACGCAACAAGGCTTAGAGACCTACTCTAAACCAGAAGCGGGCACATTGGACCCGACGGTCGCAGTGCCACATCCCTTAACAATAATAATATAATAAGTTATTGGTTTTATGGAAAGGCTTTATTTAATTAAAGTTATTATTTATTATTTATTTGTGAGTTAACTCTATAATTAATTTTTAAGTTAACTAAGAATAAGAAACTGAACTATTAGGTCCTTCGCCCTAAATAATTAAAGTAACTTTTATTTATGGATTTTAAAAATCATTTTAAAATGAAAATTCGACATCAAAATAACGATTTATTTCTTAATTTTCAAATATTTAATCCATATTTAAGTGATATTATAACAGAAGAACAAAAAAGTAGTCGGATACCGGCCCTGCAGTAATCAGAAAGTGCCAAAATTGTTTTACAATGTTTAGTTATTGTCCACACCCAGAAAAATAATTTGGTTGATTTAACCAGATTTTAACTATATCTTAGATTAAAATATTCTTACTCGAAGTAACATGTTAGTTCAACCATACCATATGCTGATTTTCATATCTTCTTTACTCCATGAGCTAAAATTTCTTTAACAAATGGATCAGGTCAATTTAACTAGTATATAGTTAGTTAGTTGTGGTGGAGGAAGGAACGAGTTCTCCTTAATTAGCTAAAAAAGCCGTTTTGAATCCACAAAACCTCATAGTAGTAGCAGAGAGAAGGTTAAGCTAGAACCAGCCAGAGGCATAACTAGTATATAGTTGGAGCATATTTTTCTGAGTGTAGAGATTCAAGACGCAAAGCTACAATTTCATTCCATTGAACTTTAATTCGGAACCATTATATCAGAACATAAAGTTTTCCTAAAGAATATGTATAACCATTCAAAATATTTTTATAACACTTTATTTTTATAATATAGTTAAATTAAAATGCATTAAACTTATTATTACTTATTTGTAATTAATTTAAAATATCAGACTAAGTAAGTTCATTAAGTAACTCTCGAAAAAGAAATCAGTTCCTTCAATCCATTGCTTCTCAGATTTTACATACATACCGTAAAAACGGTATATTAAGTCTATCAAAAGGTTTGGAAGGCAATAAGAAAAATGTCTGTTTGTGTGTATATCTTTATTTCCTTTTATTTATTGTCCATGGATTCACGCGAATTGCAATAAAAATGTACATTGTACCTTTTTTGTGAATGCAGGCAGATTCAAAATTCTATGAAATACATTTGAAACTAACATTTGAAGCTTTTGACTTTTTGAGCATATGTATCTGTAATGAACTCAGCTATAGACAATTTTACGCGTCGACAACATCAATTACTTTTCGTATTCAACTGTTTTAATGACGTGCGAGTTTTATTTTCTCTTGAAAATTCATTTGTCAATAAAAGGAAAAGGTGTCGTAGATGTACGCATAAAGGATAGCATAAAGGATTAATATAACCTTTTCTTAAAGCGAATTTTTTACCAGAAAAATCTTTCAGCATGGACAGGAACAGATACTAATCACTTGATACTAGGTCTTGACTATAAGGTGGAAGCATGAGAGCTTCTTAACCAACCTCCCAAAGTTTTGATGAGTCATTATCAAAGCGTGTGACCTGATGCGTCCTAATGGAATACAATTCTTCTCCATTTGCCCAAAGCTGGCTTCTTCTGAACGTTTGCTTCCTTCAGATGGTCCAGTGGTTGACACTACAGTTCCGAGTTAAGAGTATTGCGTATTTTCTCTTTGCTAGTTTCCGTCTTTGATGCGCGCATAAACAAAACTAAATCAACTAATCACCAAACCGCCGAAAATTTTTTTTGGAATATCATCTCTCTAACGCCATCTAACGTAATCCGATCGGACATATACAACGCCGGACACAAATAACTGAATTCATCTATTGAGAAAATAATGGATTTCTTTTTAGTACACCTTATATATTGAAGTATAAAAGCAGCGTATGCTTCCAAAGACAACTGATGATTTGGCCATACAGGGAAAGTTTTGTGGTCAATCGAAAAATGCAATTAATGAAAATAAAAAATAATTGTGGAACTACTATTCTATATTATAAATAGTTGAGTAAATAGCAGGTCATAATACATTAAACAAAAAAAAAAGAAACGAAACAAACAAAAATAAAAACCATATCATATCGACATTTAGCAGAAATTCATAAGGTATCAACGGATAGATATAGCACCTCAAGAAGAAGTAAATAAAGGGAAGCTTAAAATTTATGTACTGACTTAAATGTATCTTTTTTCTACTGTGAACTTAAATAAAATTTAGTTTAGTCAAAAAGAAAAAGTAGTTTTTATGTTTTTGCTATATTAAATACAAAATATTTTTATTTCTTAAGTAACAATTTGCTATAACGTCTATTAAGTGGCCTTTAGACATCAACGCGCGTTGACAAACACACGAAGTCTTCTCTCTCCATTACACATTAAATTTACCAACAATTTTTTAAACACGCCTCCAGCAAACAATGCAAAATTTGTTTACTCATCAGTATTAAAGCAATCGCTGAAGTGTCGACAGCGGCTGCTATGCGTAATTTCCTTACGAAAAATGATGTTACACATTTAATTTATAATTTTAATATATATATTTATATTTATTTTTATGATTTCAATTTATATATTTATTTTTATATATATTATATTTTATATAATTTAATTTTCTTTTTGGTATATTTTAATAACAAATTTTCCGTAGGTGCACAATGCAATTAATATTTAAAACAAAATTCTCATTGTAATTTAATGTTTGGTTATATTTTTTTAGGTCAAGGTTATTAATATTTTAATTCTTCTTAATAAAATGTTTTGGAAATTAAAAAATTTTACCTAGGTAGAAAATACAAATATTTAAAATAAAATTCATTCATATTTGCAAAGCATCGCATGCTAGCGACAAATCATGCGTGCATTTAAACGATGTTTACGCTTCCATTTCTCAAAATAAATAAAATTTTGCATGCCGACCAAATCCGACTGTATATGCAAAAACACGAGCGTGGTTGAAGAAATATCAAAATTTTTTGATTTTCGTCAACACATTTCTTAAAATTTCAAATGTTACTATTACACAAACAAATTTCGCATTTCACAAAGTAGGAGAAAAGTAGGAGAAAAAAATTCTCATGTGAGAGCGATTTTTTAGTATATTTGTTGTTTTATCTGGGGCGTGTTTTAAAAATTGTTAAAAAATTGTTTGTGTAATGGCAAGCGCGCGTTGACAACGAACGTTGCTGTCTAATGGGCCCTTTATAGAATTCGTCGTTAATAACGACTCAAAATCGTTTAATTTAAAAACTAAATTGTGTGAATTATTGAGTCTCCTTTTGCTTTAATTATTGCTATTGTTTCCTCCTACTTTTTTCCGTGACAATAATGCAATATTTTCTTATTTCCTTAGTTTTATTCATTCACTTAATTTTCTATAAATGTTCAATAAATAGATTTTCTTTTTCATTGTCCATTCTTAGATAACATTTCCTCTTAATTGGGCTTAAATTCATCCTAATGAAAAATAAATGAAAAAATATTTTTTATGATAACGGAACTATTAAATTTTAATTCTCTTCCAAATCAATCTTATATTCCATC